AACGACGTGGTGGAGTAATTTTAAATTTTGTCTCGTGGGCCAACTTCTTTGATTTTGCGAAATTTGACTGAACTTGGCTCTGGGAGAATATTTCACTCCCAGGTTCGTAGAGGACACCGCGTACAGGTGTTCAGTCTTGCCCTCCTTATTTGAATTAGCTAAGCTGCTATTGATAGTAGTTTAACTATTTTCCTTGATTCCATGCAGATGTCTAAGAATTTAATACATGTAGGGGACACCAATCTGGTAAATTTTCTCAGTCCTGCTCGTCTTATGCCTTGCATTCTCAAGGTCTTCTTTGGTATCTGCAATAACAATGTTCCTTAAGTGAGGATTTCACCCTATCCCCTTCTTGATCACTTCAACCTCTCTTTCGTTGCTTAATGGTCTTCTCCTGGAAGCTGGAATTATTTAGCCCAATTCTTAGACTCGTCCTAACATGTGGCTCTAGCCATATATTTTAGATTATTTATCATGGCTTCAAAGAACCAGTCTCTTGCTCATCGCAGCACTCTCCTTCCCCTTCCGCTGAGGATGTGCCAAAGCCATGTTTTCGACGTTATGTGCCGAATTTCCACTGTAAATTCTGAGTGATACATTTCGGGGACTTTCCTTTCGTCACACATGAGCTGAGTCCTATACAATTGCTTAAATCTCAAAAACGATACTTCTTTAGACACTACTAGAATAATAGTTCATGTTTACAGGTGCAGCTCCATAGTTGATTTCTTCTCAGTTTTTTTATGAAACTACCATGTTTTACCTTAACACAATTGATTTGGTAGAGATGTTCAAGATATCAGTTGCTAATTTATAATCTACTGTTCAACTCTTTGCTAACGAACGTCGCTGTATAATCGCTTAATTGCTCATCGATAGATAGATCTAAACTAATATAAATATCGACACGTTACCGACAGATAATTTCTGTTCTCCGAAATTGAGGATCTACCGCTGCTCGATTGCCAGAGAGCTGCTCCCTTCATGAAATATCTCATAGCTTTCGTGACCCTTAATCGCTACTTTATTCTTAGTGTGACGAAACCAAGCTGGTTGTAGTGTACTTTTAGAAAGATTAAACTATATGAAGAGAGAAGTACCACAACTACGGGCAATGACTATTTGTACATCCTTCTAGCTCATCCAGTACGTACTCTATTGGTGAGAATGACATATTGCTCCGCCACTGCCCGTCGTCATCTTTGCCATCTAGCTGACTCTCTCACTTGACAATTCTACTTCGCCGTCTCACATTCCTTCCTGGCTCCAATGTAATGTAGCCAAGTGAAACTTAGTCGCTTGATTCAAGATAATATATAACTCTCTCCCTAATACTCCCCCAAACTCCGCTTAGGACTCCACCTAAGCCAAACCACGGTCAAACCGTAACACCTAGCCTCTTTGCATATACACATTAAATTTTTTTACACCAACTTTGATCTATTCAGAGTTACCAATACGCCTATTTCTAACAGATTTTTATCTTTTTTATAATAGCAGTCAGTTTTATATTATTACACGTCGTTAGTAGTGTCTGACTGATAGGTAGTTTATGTGATGCTCTGTCGAGTTAAACTTTCATCTTTCAGCTAGATTTATGTACTAGTACCTTGTTACTGGTTTACCAACTGGCCCAAATTCGATCAACATAGAGTAGTAATACGTTGAAGCTAGTGCTATTATTGGCTCTATAGTAGTTTTGGCTTCTTGAATGCTGCTCCCTGAGTCGTCTCTGCGTGAGCTAAAAATTTCTACTGGGAACCAATAATATGGAAATTCCATTGGAGCTAAGAGATCAAGTAAATCACGAATACCCTAAAATAGTGCTGTTTTGAAGTTGAACGCACTAGTATGCTTATAGTGATTTCGAATTTGTGTTTTTTTTTCGCTCATGTCAAGCGCACGAGCTGGTATTTCTCAGACGCAAACTCACATTTGGCTTTTTTTCACACCTCGAAGATGTAAAGCTTTTCTTATGACTCACTGTATTTTTATCCAGTGGTTATTCACAATGTTAGTATATCAGTGTCGTTTGCGAACCCTACAGCCGAGGTCGGAAGATTAGGTAACATCGTTAGGAGCACACCAGAAAAAATTGGTTAGAAAATTGGAAACAGACGTCAACCTTGAAATATTTCGGTGTTGTTAAGGACGTGGTCGCCTTGGTCTATCCCGAGAAATACGCAGGAAGTCCCTCGAGTAAAAGAGCTGCAGACTGGCTAGTTCACCATAGAATTTATTTTTCTCTAAGACTATCACGGAATCTCTCGTAATACTCGCAATAAAATACTATAGAAATTTAATTTCTAGCCATAGAAGGGGCCTGGTTTTTTCCTTTTTCTCGGAGAAATTCTGGTATCATTTGTGTGTATGTAGCTATCTGGTAATGACGCATGACTAGTGTCAACGGTACATGTTGGTTGGCGTTTTTGACGTGGAGATACTCAAACTCTGAATTTTATTTGCAAACACATAGATGAGATATGCCTGCTTACATAGACTAGTCGATCCTCCCCCGTGAGTAACTACCTAAGGGAAGTTAAAACTATCCGGTTGTCCAAGCGACCAAGACTCTGCAATACAAATCGAGCCGGATGCTTTAATATTGCACCATCTAATCTTGGCCGCGTCAAAAGTATTCCTTCACTCTCGCAGAAGAAGGTCTAGCGCACGCAAAGCTCTTGTATTAGTAAAACTCTGGACTAAATTTCAAAAGATCACGTTTGTCGAGAATATGTCTATCTTCTGTGCATATTGTAGATTTGTCCCGATTTCTCTCACGTCTATACCATCGAACTGCCTCCAAGATTTGTGAGTCATAATTTGTTGCCTTCGGCAAGTGTAAATATCGGCGCAGCGTGTATTTAGTGTCCAGCTGAGGCTAGAGACTGTTTTGACAAGAGGTGTGCCCGTTAAGTTAAGGATGTAATAGGTCGTACTTGCAGACTGAATGAGGCTTAGGCGGGAATCGATCATGTTGAGAGTGAAAAATTGACGTGGTGTAGTATTTTAAATCATTGCCACGTGGGCCAACCTCTTTGGTGCTGTGAAATTCGAATGAGTTTGGCATCGGGAGGAAATCCTACTCCTGAGTGCATCAAGTGCAGCGCGAACGGTTTTCAGTGTTTGTGTTCCTCAATCTACTTCAGATGGCTCGTGTGTAGTTTTCAATTTCAGGGCTTGCTAAGACACCTTTCATGGCAAGGTGTTGTACAAATTGAAGATAGATGTGTACGCCATGATTGGATGGTGTAGTGATGCACTATCCAGGCCCTCCTTCCAAGTAGATTTTGGGTAGCTTGGACATATATCCCAATTAAGCCAGGAGATCGCTGGTTAGGAACTAGTAGGATCCACATATTATATTCTCTCGCGGTGGTTTTGTATCTGTAAAGTGACAAATCCACACTCGGATATTCCTGTGTTTTCACGCTATTCCCTGTGGTAAGTACTTATGGAAGGGGTAACATGCCGAAAGGGCTAACTTCAAGACGCACCTACAAATGAAGTCCGTACGTGAGTGTTCTAAATTTCAAATTGTCTCATACTACATAAAATACATACATCCCGAAAATACTTGCATTGGCTCTACGGGCGCTAAATCAGGATGATTGAAAATTTTAAATTATTTAATCATACAATTTACAAATCGACCTATGACCGAAAACTGTGTAGACTGACAATCGTCGTACTCTCCAAATTACCGAAACAATTCTAGAAGCGCAATTTATCTTGACTACCAACTGATAGACGCTTCATGAAGGAAAGTTATTGTGGAAACGTGATGACTACATAAAGAAAACAGGTACCTACGCCGATTAGATACTTTTGTGTCGTTATTCATCCTTATCAATAACAATACTATGGTGCAATGATGGGAGACCGTATTAACAAAATTCTAGGACTTGTGAAGCAAATGATATTTAGAGGTAATAAGAGTCTCAGGGGCTCAGGCGTATGTGCATGATGTTGAAACTTTAGGAGAATACAAAGCTACGGCTGTAGGAATAAGAGATTTCTCGACGGTGGACCTTGGCGTGGCTCAATAACCGAGCATTGTCTAAGATAGTCTAATCATAGGTATGTGACGGAGTTAATTCTTCTATTTGTGATAGACTGATAGGGTCGGACCTGATATATGTTTTACTCCCTTAGTTTCAATAGGTGCAAGTTACCCAGCATGTCAAATTGCGAAGTCAAATATAACAAAGTAACACATACCCCTAACGTAAAGGCGTTGATATACGTCATGCGAGACGCTACTAATATCAATAGTCTCACGAGGACCTTTTCAAGTGGCTGAACCGATTGAGCATGCGAATAGCCGAGGTCTCGTTGGTTGTGCCCCTGGTTCCTCGATAAGCCAACTCTGATAAATGAGTTATAGGTCTAGGCTTCGCCGCATCGATCCAAATGTTTACCGAACGTATCCTTAGGAACAAGGTGACACCTAGTGGTGTGGCCTGACCAAGGTTAGATCGTGATTCGCATCAAATAAATAGATATTGAAGCCAAATATATGTATTCCAAGTATCTATAAGGATTGGAGAGACGGCCTGCGTATATAGTGTATATACTAGATGAGACGAAATGAAATGAGTCATGCGTAACTATTATATTATAGTAATATCTGTCCGAATTGCTGGACAGATCTCCAATCTGTTACTGCCACCACAAGTTTTGCCTAGTTCAAACATCGTGAAAAAAAGTTGATCCTACGATATTAGATACGTATCTATTACCATCGCTTCTCATCAACAGCAAATGCCCAAATTGCTTTTATGAGGCTTGCAGAATGCTCATGTGTATTGCCATCTGTACAAAATTTTTGGGTACCCCCTCATACGCTTCACATGATCTCGTATTGTTGCCATGATTTTTATTGCCTTATGCTGTATCTGTATAGAGAAAAATATTGCATCCTAATAGTGGATGAAGTCATTTTTGTGGTTTTTGACAAGAGAGAAATATCTGACGTATTAGGGGTCCCGGTGGGTTGACTATACGACAACACCTGATGTCGTCGCTTCTCGGCATATCGAAACTTGGTGCATCAAGTTAGGACTCACGATGCAGAGACCAGGTAGCATTCCACCTAAGCCAGGACCATAGCCATCATCACGAAAAAGGAGTTCCTCTCCGTCCGGCCTCAGACGTGGTCGATTAGACCCCATCGAGTCGTCATCAACTTCTTTAAATTCAAGTAGGGAAGAAAGAATACTAGATTGACGTGTGAGAGAGTTTTTGGATGAGGCAGCTTCTAAATCATATTTTTCGTTGGAAATGGTTGGGAATTGTAGTCCTGTGGCCAGCTGAGGGAACGCACATGACAAACTTTTTCCAACCGTGGTTTCTTCACTTCTGCCCTCATTTCCGCTAACAATTTCCATGATGTCATGTTTTGTTCGATCATATCTTCGTGGCCACGAACAATCAGAACCGGATGTAGGAGCAGAGGTGTCTAATTCATTGGGCAAATGATTTTCATTAAGATTAGAGGCGATAGAATGTGAGGCTATGGGAGTAAATTCGTGACAAGAATAAGACGAACTCGTCGAGTAGTCAACAGTCCTATCGGACAAAGAGCCTGATGCAGATTTGTCTGCCCAAGGAGAATTGATGGATGAAGCCAACTCTATTTCTTGGCCACTTAAACGAATTTTTGGCGAATATCCTATATCAACTTCTTGTATATTTTTATCTGCTGATCGTGGTGTAAAGTTTTTCGCCGATACTGGTTGAACCTTGTGGATGGATAAAATCCGGTCTTGACGGTTGTGGGAAGGTAATTTAGAATCCAGGCAACTTTGATCGTTTACGAAATAGCGTGACCCGTGGTTTTTAAACTTTGGAATTACTGAAAACACTAGTTAGTATTGCTTTTAGTGTAGCTTTGAAATAAAAATAAGTCCTGTAAGTCCAGTATCTAGAACAATATTCTATCACTGATGGAAGATCTTTAGCATGTTAAATGCAGAGTCTAATGCTAGAAAGGGATTATCTTTTGGATATCTCGTACCATAATTATCAAAAATTTCTGAATGTTTAGAATACTTGTGCTTCGGCAAGTCATTGGGTTCGTCAATCGACAAAAGTTGCGTGAAATTGTCAGTGTTCAAGTTAGATATTAGGTGATTATCTCTGGGAAATCTAGGTAAGCTAGTAGCAGACCTGGGGCCATTATGTAAGTCTATTTGATTGGATGCTACATGAATGCGATGTAAATCAGTTTCTGAATGAATACGGCGTTTAGGTCTTTTATTCCTATGGGCAGATGATAAATCTACGCATCTTGCATTAAGGGTCGCAAGGTGAGATTTTGGTATGTGCGGTGACTCGGCAGGTATAGAGCCCGATAACGAAACTGAATCTTTATGGTCTCTGAGATTTGGCTGATTTATACCTGGGAAATTGTGAGCCATGGGTCTTGCTTTGCGTACCAGCTTAAGTTGTAAATCACCAGAACTAGCAGCTGCTGTATGTGGGCGGTCTTGACCATATCTAGGAATTATGGGGTTAGGTGAACATGGACCAATGGTACTATCATGACCACAATCTATCTCAGGAAGGGTTGCATCATGTGCCGCGTCATTACCAGGAAGCTCTAGGTCCTTGCGAGCGTCGATAGATCTTCCAAGGCTAAAGTTATGATGGAATCTACATGGAGTATCATTTGTGGAAAAACTTGTCTTTGGTCGACTATCAGATCCTCCTTGATCACCCAGCCCAAATTTCCGGGTAGGCTTCTTATGTGAAGTGGCACTTGAAGAAGGGCTTGTCTTCGGTCGTACTTCAGTACTAAGGCCTCTACCATGGCCCATATTTCGATTGGCAACATCTTCTCCGTAGTTCCTAACACCGGTTGCTTTCAGACGGTTCTGGAAAACATCATTTGAGGATTTAATTGTGGAATGCGCTTCAAGTAAATCAATATAAGGTCTACGTTGTCGAGAGATAAGGCCTCGCGAAGTTTGAGAATGGCGAGAAAAAGAAAGGTTTGATGGAAATTGGAAGATTGAGCGAGCTGTGGTATCGTTATTCCGAGGTCTGTGGTAGTCTCTGTTTGATGCTACTGCGGGTGAGTTTTGTTTGTCACAAATCACCTGTGTTCTTTGAGGCACTACAATTTTGAAGTTCTCAGTATCCATATAACTAGAGGCGCATCTATAGTCTAGAGTCTGAGAGTGAAAGATGCTGAATTCATCACTTGTTTGTCCTAATGTTGTTTTTGGATTTATTGCGGTAGAGGAGCGTCTCGTCGCGAAGGATGAAGTTGATGGCCGCACCACTGCACCATGAAAATTTCCCGATTTTTTGGTGACGAGAGGATATGATCCTTTGATCGGTGGGCTCGATGGCTTCGAGCAGTCATATCGATAGCCTAGAGTCTTTGGGCTGGTGGGTGTTGGAGCTCCAGAGAGCAAGTTCTTCAGACTGAGTCCCATATTCTAAGACCGTGTTGGCATAGAACTGAGTATTTATGACAGCAGGATCTAAGAAACATTTGGTATTGTAAGTCTTGCTCATTATGTGCCACTTCTCGGTGCCATATGTATTTCTATCCCCGAGGCAGGACCCCTGTCTCTTTTGATGAGCTAGGCAGTGCTGCATGATCCGGGTGGATGGGCTGTTTGTACTTTTTGCGCCATATCCTTTTTCATGTCAGAAGTCGTCTGAGGATATAGATAGGGTGTTCGCAAGAACCAAGCTTAACTTTTTCTAGAGTTTCAACCTCTCTGATGAGATCCCTGCACGAACATGATGATTGACAGGATAGCGAGATGAAAGTATGAATGTTACTCAGCTATCCCATTTCCTATCTCTGGTGCGCTCATCCTATTCGTCAGTTTACCGAGACGCAGGCTCTCGGGCCTCTGCAATAACGGTCATCTGTCTGACAAGCTGTTGTGAGATCCCTATGCTCATATTGCCATCTAGCACTAGTTAAATTCATCTTCATCTGAAAAAGTGCATGAGTTTCTGGTGGGTGCAATTAGTGAAAATGAGATCACAGAGCTTCAATTCTTTCGTTCAGCTACCTCGTGAGTACAATCCTTTCTTATGAACTGGAGACCTAGGGCACCCCGCTGAGGACGAGCTGATCTCGAAGACAATACTACGTAGCTTCTCAAGTTAGCTGACCACAAATGCTGCTCAAGAAGGCCATGCTTGGAACGTGTGCGGCGGCACGGACGTACGGAGCCTAGGATACGAGGTCTCAGGACACGACTTTCATCAGATGCAGGCAAAGTATGTGGGCGGATCCGGCCCAATCAAACGGAGAGATTCTATTGGTGATTTAGGTACACAGATTTCGGCTCAGTGTATTCCCGTCCAAATTAATATGCTCCCGCGCACTCTTCTATTCTCTGTTTCGGAGGCATGACATGTAGCCGGCGCTAAGGCGCGTGGTGCATTGCGGGATGCGGCTAGAGATGTCATTGGGTCATTGTGAGGGCAAGCTCAGTGTTTATGCCACTAACGACGAGTTGGTGGGCTCAAAGTCAGACATGCTACCCCAATGCGGTCGGATTTCTCCACTGGCAACTGTTATAGAGATATGGGCTGGAAATAAGATGGAGAAGGCTTGGACCAGGCGGCTGCGCATGTACCCAGTAATTGGATACAGGCCAATCCCTATCTCCTTGCGACCATGTGCAGATAACAGTGCAGCGTCGACATGCGGTCTGGGTGATACGCTTTGGTGTCCCGAGAATGCTACTGTGTTTTCGTTGCAACTCAGCGAAATGAAGAGAGTCGAGCCTATCATACGTTGGTTTGGAACATAATAATTACTGGTTAGCCATCGGAACTGCCTACGGGTGCCGATATGATCATTGGCATTTATCTGGGAAGAAAGATGGATATTCGGACCAAGTAATGGAAGGACATAACAGACAGCCATTTAACCTAGGTCACAGCGCCGTGTTTCCATCGCAGCTACCCAGCCAGCTTATCTCGGCTGTATTCTAGAGATCTGTTTCGGCCCTTAGGCTGCAGATACCCTAGAAATGGTTTAATCGCAATGATAAAGTGAGCGGTTGGAAGAGGTCTAACCCTGTAGAATGCCGACATCCGCCACTTCAACGAGGCAAGCGCTATCATCTTTGATTTCTAAGTTGGTTAAAATAACATTCCCTCATACACATTGCGGCCCATGGCTACATTTTCGACGTGCGTTGGTAACAACCCATGACAGCTCCCAAATACCCGGTCGACCGCGAACCCGAAAGCACTCTTTCCCGGCCAATCCTTCAATGTTATCCACGAATAAAACCCTGAGCATGGGTGCATCCAATATCCATAGAGCCGTTTCAAATTTACATGAGGTGCTGATCACATTTCGTCACCTGATAATTGAACATACAATAGATGACTGTTCTTAATCTGAACACACGTACCAGTCAGTCGAGGTCTCGGAGAGTCTCGAGCGACCATTACCTTGAGCTTTCTCATACAATATGTTAGGCTTTGGCTTATTAATCTTCAACATGAAAATGTATCACTGCACTAGGGCTATATGAGAAGCAGTATAATGGGTGCGTGTTTCTGTTATTACGGCTTGAGTGTACTTGTTAGCATCTCCTCCAGTCTCGTCACAGTAAGAACACACAACTCAACACCAGTAGAGTCCATGACCATCAGCTCGTTCAGGTAGAGCATGAACCAATATCTTTCCCGCATTTTTCGCCTCTGAATTGAAGACCATAGGCCGAGAGGAACTTTAATTCGCCTTGATCGCGCGATACTCGAATGCCCATCACGGCAACTGGATGCTGCGCAAGCTTTCCCGAATGCACTCACGCTGATGCTAGATATTTTTTATTGTTTGTCAAATTGAGCATCATGTAGACTCCTTTTGAATTTATTATAATCTCTCACAAGTCTACGACGATGTAAGACCATAAAATACCTCTTTTCCAAAACTTCTGAGGAAGTTCGTGCAAATTTGATGTGATCAAGATATACCAGTCGGTATACTGGGAGTCAGGTTCCAAGGTTTTTTTTGAATCATTTAATGGGGGAAAGCTTGACAGACGAAACAAATAATCGATGTTTTTTGTCCATATCAGACAGCCAAGTAAGCTGGCGTGTACGGCTCAGGCCCAGTGTGACATCCGAGGCATAAGCGCTCTATTTTTAGATTGAGTCATCTATTATGTACCTTTTCTATGATATTGTACCATAGCCAGATAGCTGCATACGCGATTAAAATCTGATACAAAAAAACAAACCAAACCCCAAGCCCAGCGCTCTGGAAACGGTATTCTAGCGTGGCCTGATGCTTCGAGACAATTCCATGGTCCTTTAGCAAACTTAATATACGTGATGGAGGGCGAGAGGTTCGATTCTGGTCGACAGTGTCCCTTACAATGCTATAGCTCTCGCCATTAATGCTGTAAAGCCGAGGTCGAGTCTAGGGTTAGCTAAGAGGTCTTTATTTGTTAGTGAGTCTATGGCATTCTACAATACCCAAGACGGCTCAGTTTAGCTGGGCCGTGCTAATCTCAAGCACACGCTCCATGTCAACAGCTTTCTCAAGTACTTGCACGGCCTCAGATTTATACTGAGGCCCAAATTTTGCATAGTTGCGTAGGGAAACTGGGAAGATAGGGATAAACCCTCTTGTAAATGCAAAAGATTACAACGCTTGGAATGGGTGGCCATGTCTCCTAGCTTAGTCTCCAGGTCAGTGCTAGGGAAGCTTCTCAACTCGGTGGCATTTTCAGGTTGTCCCGGCTGCTTTACTCCCGCGAATAGTGTTTGTGCCGGTGGTTGAGGAGGGTAGATGAGTAGGATAACTCATGGAGTGGAATAGGTGCAAAATTCGTGCAACTACAGGAGTGGTTTGTCGAGACTACAGCCATAGAGTGATAGTCGTGCGCTACAAATACGAGTTTAACTGGCACTAATTCTAAGCTACAACATGAAAAATTTTCGCGCTTTGGGGCATGGGAACGGCCCAGCAACCTCCTCGCGCTCACGCACTAATCTTCCTCGTGGAATTTATACGCGACGTTAGGAGCGGAGACTGAGAGCATGTAGTGCCGTCCAATATGGTTCATGAGTGAAGGCTTGGATAACATTGACTGCCCGAGCTACCAGCGTTATTCATGTCTTGGTGTTCTCGGACTTGCTAAAGTGTAGAAATCATAGGACATGCTGAGGACATCGATATGAGAGCGTCTAGGCTCCCGCAGGTTAATTGCTATCTATAGTCGATGAAGACCGCATTCGCCCGAATGCACCGAGCGCCTTAGACTTCTCCCGGGTCATGGATCACGCCAGATGCTGCAGACCAGGGTGCCCGCTGTATACGCATCGAAGCGCACATTGATCCCCAGCCTAGGCAGTATCGCACCCGAGCTTATGATCTCTTAACCTTGCTACACGATCGCATCCCAGCAAATACCTGGGCCCACCGCCTTCTCATCATAACATTCTACCTCTGTTGTCATGGCAATATATTTTCGGCTGCTAAAGTGCAGGCTCTTCGTACATGTCACCCGTTAGATACTTGTACACTAACACGATTACAGCACTGGCGACATTAAAGACACCGCCATGGCTGAATGGTGCGGTGGTACATCGCCTTGGCCGTTTATCCAGCTAGAGTCTGGATGGCTTGGATACACATCCCACTCGAGCCAGGAGATCGCTGGTTCAAATCCGGCTAAATACAGTTGCTTCTCTCGCAGCGCTGGGATACTTGGACGACAAATGTATGCTTGGATACCCAAATTTTTTGAATCTCTCTTTGGTATGTACTTACGGAGGAGGGTCGACTTTTTGTGTAATCGAACATTCCTCACAATGGTATTTACGAATAAAATCCAGAGCGCGTGTGTCTCTAACGTCAAAAGAGCCATCCTAAATGTATACATATCATCAGTCATGTTTCATAGCTAGATAGCTCAATACACGTTAAATGATTTAAAAAAAGATTTGTTACTTCTGACGGGTATTAGTATCGGCGACGGTGTATATTTAGTGGTCAGCTGAGGCCAAGTGTTAGAGGTGTGGACCCAAGACAGGTGCCGTTCATGTATACCGGCACTTACTGCGGAGGGCAAGACTGAACACCTGTACGCGGTGTCCTCTACGAACCTCCAGCTCTTGCCTATCTCTCTTCTTCCATATCTATCCAAGCTTCTGGAGAGGATTAATGCCAATAGAATTTCATATTATGCTAACACAACCAATGACCAATTGCATCATAGCCAGATGGGAAGTCGAAAGCAGAGATCAACAACAGATGCAGCCCTACTTCTACAGAACTTTGTGGAGGAGAACAAACTTAAAAACAGAATTATATCAACAGTCTTCCTCGACATTCTTGGGGCATTTGATAGGCTGCAACCATTGGTGTTGATAAAAGTCCTTCGTAAACTTCAGCTACCAGTCAATTTAATTTTATGGGTAGAATCCTTTCTGACAGGAAGAA